GATGCATACTAAGGCTACCTGCATGAAAATTTACGAAAAACTGCCTGACTGCCTCTGACAGAGTTATGTATTTTTAGCGCTTCATCCTGCGTTTGCCTTGTGATAGTCCACATTAATATAATTACGACTTCTTTTTGAAGAGGAGACAAAACTATCACGCGTCATTCCAAAAAAGCGGATTATGATGCCAGATAAAAACTTTTCCCGCGACCGAATGCTTCCATTTAATAACGCTCCTGGAAAATATCAATGAGTTATCCTGTATAAACCTTTAAAAATATTTTGACTGGCTGTTTAAAATATTCAAATTATAATTGGAAATATAAAAATAAGAGCAAGTATAACCTTCACACCGATCATAATCATATCTTTTACATTAGGCTGAAGGATTGATTTCAAGTGCTTTCTCTTTCTTCTGTAATAAAACATTCACTTTTTAATGAATCATTGCGTAGCTGATATAGATATATGAAGATTTGAAAAAGATGCAATACCGTAAACGATGCTGATTTTAGTTCCGCACGTATGAAGCGAGGCCAGAAACGAATCGTAATCACACACTTGGAAAAATCGATCAGCCAGCCAACAATAGCTGTCTATCTATTTGTCTGTAAATATGTGTTTACATTAACACACAAAACGGATAAACAATCATCTCTCTCGTATCAATCAGAAGCATTTATGAGCTCTAAAAAATGATTGTAGGTCAATGTAATGTTTTTGAAACATCAACCGTCCATTTTTAAATTTGGGGTTACAAACACTGAGATTGTTAATGGGTTTTCTCAAAAAACAACCCATATTTAGGGACACACGCGGACATATTGTCAAATATCGATGTGTGACATCAGCAAGCTGATAATTGAAAATGGTAGGCAAAGCTATAGACAAGAAAGACAAAAGGGATATGGAGAGATCCTATTGGTAGAAGCGGGTGGTTGCAATAGACAAAGGAGTTACATAATAGACTAACAAGCGGCAGACCACGAGAAACCCTATATAGTTTTTCTATCATTTTCTCCCTTAGTCTATAGGAGCCACCTATTTCAACTAATAACATCGCTCCATATACTCCCTATGTATTCTTTGTCTACAGTTTTGTCTACCAATTTAAACTATCAGCCCACAGTTCAAGATGGAAAAGTGGGTCAACACAGGAAAAAGAAAAACTTCTCGTCACAGAAGTCAAACCTTTGATATATGCCGCCAGCCGCTCGGATCTGCTCAGGCCCCTGTCTGGCGCCTGAAGAGTTGGGTCTCGTCCCGAGGAATTTGGGACGATAAATTTTTCTTACTCCGCTGCTGACCTACTTACCAATGTTGAACAGTTATGCTTCTTCTTGCTACCTTTAGGAACATATGAGCAGTGGCGTGGCCTGAATGATCGATTATCGATATTTCCTCATTTGTAGCTATGGTAAAGAATCGATTATTAAGGTGTTCGCTGCGAACACCCTGTTTATCGATCCTTTTCCATAGGTTTAAATGGCAGATCAATCGATATATCGCAATTCACGCCACGCTACTGCATATGAGGACTTATCTGTAACAATAGCGGATGTGAAAAATTACCTTTTCAAAACACGCTTAAAAAACTGTTTTGTTCAAACAAAAATTTAATATGTTTGGCTCCGGCATAATGTACAGATCTCGAAGATCGCATCTCAAGTATTTTCTCAAAATTTTCTCGATACCAAAACAGTTTTTTGAATGTGTGTCGAAAAGGTAATTTTTCACATCCGCTATTGTTACAGATAAGTCCTCATATGCTACATGAAATTACACCGATTTTTAACGAGGAACCAGAATCTGACCTGAGGTTTTGGATATTACGCGTTTTAAGTAACATTTTTAAAATTCGTAAATCCAAGACGGCGTGGCTTAAAAAGCTATCTCGGTTCTTGTTCGTTCGATTTTCGTGAAATTTGGTATCAGAAAGTATTTTTTTGACCTATATTTTATCGTTATAACGAGAACCTCTCTGAAGCGAGGAAATCGGTTGGTACCTTGAACCTCCTACTTTAAATAGTGTATTTTCCTCCCGACGTAAGGAACGTGGTAACAAAGCAACGTCTGTAGCCAGAGGCCGTCGACCTGGCTCCTGGATCAAAGTGCAGGGTCATACTTAAGAATTTGCCTTCTCCAGAGCACAAATAATGACTACTTCCGTTGTTTACAAATTTCAAGCGGCTGACAAATCAGTGCAGTTTCAAAAAAGGTGATTACCGCTTGTAAATGAACAGAGGAAAATTAGTTAGATTTAAAGTAATTTTTCCAATTATTTTAAAAGACGGTAATCCATTCAGAGCGTGTAAAAAACTTGATGGTAGTAACAAATTGAAAAACGTTGACTCCGCGAGTTGAGCTAATCGCGCCGCACTCAGCGTAGTTAGCGCGACACGCGTATTAGCGCCTACAAGACTGCAGAAATACTTCCCGCATTGCGCGTTGGCCACGGCGCGCATTTTAATCGTTGAAAATTCGGCGCTGGACAGCCACGCCGAGCCGGACCTACCGCGGTGTAAGGTGTGTAATGTGTATTCATTTTTGGTTCATTTTCAAAATAAATTTGGCCTCAGCTAATATGGGCGCGCTCTCACACTGATAAATTGAAAAAAAATAGTTTCTTTTCTTTGTTTTTTTTACGCTCATTTGATGATTTTAGATTGCAAGCGCTCGTCCTCACGTTCACATCAGACATACTGCTCCAAACTTCTTCTATTACAATTTCAAGTATGCATCAGTTCAAATTCTGATATTTTTTTCGAATAGATAAAAAATCGAAGTTTTCAGCATTGAAATTGATGGCAAAATTCATGTAAATTCTATTTTGCCATTATTTTTAGTTCTGTTGGTCATTCTCATCAGCAGAATTTGTCTTTTATTTTTAGACCGAGCAGAATTCAGCTCGCTCAACATTTAAAAACCAGGGGTCAATTTTGTGGATTTAGGTAGATTGAGAAAAATACAGTCTTTTTAAGGAAATAATTTATTTAGAATTTTAGTTCTTTTTTCTCAGAATTCTTAACTTTTTACAAATGTTCGCTTTTCCTGTAATTTGAATTAGAAACGAACTGGATTTTTACAATTATTATAATCTCAAGGTAATGTTTATTACAACAGACTCTGTTTTTAAATGCCATTATTAGATCAGATGATGGGCGGAATTCAAAATTTCATACAAACTCTCACGAAAATCTATATTTACAGGGGAGTGTACTTCTTTCTTTCTTGTAACTTTGTTTAAGTGTGTTCTAATCATATGCGTACAAAAAGTCGCAATGCTAAGTTAGAAGTTGACTTAAACTAGGAGCATTATGCAGGTCTCATGGGTAAGTAAATGCACACTGCTCATTGTGGTAGTGTATGTTAAAAACATTTATTCCACAAATCTGACTTAATGCTAAAAGCTCCCTTAAACCTTTTTATTTTGATTTTAGTTCAGAATTAAAGAAGCTCAATTGTCTTTCAATGTATAAACGGTATGTTTTCGTTCGAATTCACCCAACGGCAACATATTTTAATGTTTACGAACCCTTTAAAGTATGGTGAAAGATCAATATTTTCTTTGATAGGAAGCTTACAGTAAGAGTCTCTCTCTAAGTGTATTACGAGGAGGGAATTTGATACTAAAAATGTTGGCAGAAACATTCTTTCCGATCAATTTTTAAGTTGATTTTTGGGTTTTCGTTTAGGTACCCAGCCTATTTTTCTAAAATGTATTTCGATTTTAAAACACGTTTCAGTTTCGATTTATGCTTAAGAAAAATAAGCGCAAATTGATAAGTGATTTTGAACAAAGAGGACTAATCTAGAGCCGTTTGAGTCTTGATCGGGCTCCTATAATAATCAAAATAAAAAATCAGCAAGTTCACATCGCATATATGCATAGATAATTTGACATGTTCGCCCGCATTAATTAATGGATTTTGTTGCGCACATTCATAGTAGAAATTGTCCTAGTTTCGTTCCATTATTAGAGGAATCCCCAAAAATAGTACGAAATGGGTTTCAGCAGGTAACTAATCTGTTAATATTTTGGTTAAGACCTAAATAAGACTTTTACCTACAACCTAGTTCTTCAAAAGTTTTGGGACCTGAGCATTCCCAAAAATTGCAGACTGATTACCAGTTTGATACAAAGCTCAGTATAAATGACCGTATGATGAGCTCAGACAAGGGTAAAACGTATGCAACATCAAACAAACGAATAGCACTGTCTATGTATGGATCGATCCCTTCTTTTTATTACTTAGAAGTCTCGTTAGAACCGTATCCATTAACAGTTTTTTTTTTTTTTTCTACAACCCCCTCTATTAGAGAGACTCAAATAATTCCATTGTAACTGAAGGGCTATTCACAAAGAGGCCCTAAATTTAGGACGTATCCATATTTTCAAGTGAAATTAGATGGAACTTAGGATAATGGAATCTGTATTCGTGGTCCCTCGGAAGCTTCCTCATTCACAATACAAGACATATCGCTTATAAAACTGAAAAACCCCGTGTACCTCAGTTGCCACGGACCAAAAATTACGGCTGAAACTTTTTACAGCCGGCAAACTGAGATACGTGGTTTTCTATATTAGCCATGAATTTGGTCCTCTTTCATGTCGTGGCATATTTAGGAAGAACATTTTTTAATAGGGATGACATCTTAAGTCAGATATCCAAGTTTAGCATCGGACTGTGCATTTTCAATCGAAAATTTCATATCTAACCTATCTGAAAGGCTCGTTTCACCGTGCGACGAGCCTCACTGCGAGGATCTAAAACAGTGGCGTGGCGTGCTTTGTGATACATCGATAGATCTGCCTTTTAAACCTGCGGAAAAGGATCGATTTGAAGTAACCCAAGTAGCATTTCTCAACAGAAAAAAATCGTTGTATATTTCGATTTTATTGGCGATAAAATTGCCAAGATTATCAACATCTGAGCAATTACCCTCGATCTTATTCCGATAAAATCGCGCTTTTAACGCCTGACAATTTATCGCGATATTTTCGCAATAAAAATCGTGATAAATTGCGATTTAATCTCGATTTCATCGACGAAAATTGACCCTGATTTTATCAAACCAAAAATTTGCCATGTGTAGCGTTATGGTGGCCACAGCCACACATTGCAATTTTTAATGCGAAAATATCCCGATAAATTGCCACCAACATAATCGCAATATCCAACCGATAAAATCGCTATTTATCGCGATCACTTCTACTTGGGAAATAGTTGTTCGGAACATACACCATAAAAATCGATTCTTAATCACAGCTTCAAAGGGAGAAATATCGATAATCGATCATTTACACCTCGCCACTGACGTCAAATACAATATTCGTCGTTTGTGGTGGTGGTCAGTGGCGTGGAGTGCTGTGCGATATATCAATTGATACGCCACTCAAGCCCATGAAAAAAGATCGATTATCAGGGTGTCCGCAGCGAACACCTTAGTAATCGATTCTTTACCATAGCTCCAAATGGGGAGATATCGATAATCGATCATTCACGCCGCGCCACTGGTGGTGGTAATATTAGGGGTACGGTGGGCGCAAGGCAGGGAGCTGGGGTTAGAGAGATCTGGGTCCGTCGATGGGTGTCCAGTCGTCCACGTCGGGCATATCGGCGATGTCCATCCGTCGCTGGGTCTTGGGGTCGACCGTCTGGGGGAGAGGCCCTCCGGGGGGGCTCGACTTGAAGAAGTCGATGATCGGGTGGTAACTGTAGTTGATGCGCTTCGAGGCTGGTTTCGGGGCCCCGGATGGCGGTGAGTGATGGGCCACCTCGGCCAGCAGCTCCTCGATCTCCGACTTGGACGGGGCCGCTGGGATAGCGCCCTGCCGGGAGTCTGGGCCTGTCGGCTTCGACCTGTAAAGGAAAATAGGCGGTGTCAGTGAAAACTCATGTGAGGTTAAGGTGTTAAGGCTGAGGTATCGGGGGCCGTTCATAAATACATGGACGCTGGTATTCTCGGATTAACCCTCTCGCTTTCCTGTACACTGGATAAAAAAAAAACACTTTGGATCTAGAGTCCAGACTCTTGAAAACATTGAAAAGAAAAAATACTCTTGATTCAATCAGATGTAAGCTTAAATCAAAAGGAAATCCGCTCAAATTAAGAGGCTTGGTTCTTGATTTCAGCTTAAATCTGAATGAATCAAGAGTATTTTTTCTTGTCGATGTTTTTAAGAGTCTGGACTCTCGATCCAATGTGTTTTTTTTATATTTTTTTTTGTTTTTTTTTTTCCAGTGCGGTATTCTCGGATTAATCCTCTCGCTCCCCCGTAGCACACCTACTCTGCCGTGCTAAGCAAGAACGCCGTGTGAGCCATCAGGCGTTGTCAAAATTCTTTTGACAAATCATAAATTTTTAGGAAATTTTGGGAATATTTCCTCTTCGATTTTTCTGAGAATTTTGCTCATAATTTGCTTTAAATAGCCTGAAAATTTAAAGGAAAAATATTCATAACTTTTTTCAAAAGTCAATATTTTCTGAAAGGCAATTTGGCAACATTCGAATGCTCATATGGTGTTTTTTCTTAGGACGGCAGTATTACACAGATCTGCATACCCTCAAAGCATATTAACAATGATCTTTTTTGAGTGAAAGGGCGGTGACAAGGTGCTTTAGAAGAAAAGAGGGAGTTCAACTCCCTGAAGGGCTTCGGGAGGATAGGGGACTTCGGCGGATGGGTGCATGTTGCAGAGAGCCCAAGAGCGCTGTAAAATCGGCTTTCATGCATGTATCTTTTTTACCCCCTTCTCTTGAATTGGCATTTTGAAATGAATTCTGGTTAACAAATTGCCACCTTGCGTCGAAATTTTAAAAGCTTGTAACTCAGAGTGACATTTTTCCCTCTGTTGTTTTTCTATGTTGTTGGTTGTTTTTCTATCAAATTTCGTAATATTGACCCACAGAGTCAATCTAAAAATTCTGAGAACTTGTTTCTGGAACACTCTGTATGTTATTCTCTGTATGAGGATAATTGCTCTTGTTCACCCTCTCCATCGTTAACTTGAGAATTAAGTGAACATGAGTTGCATTTTTTAAGGTGCCCTGTGAAAATTATCTAACTTCTTCGTTTTTTTTTTTTTTTTTTTTTTTTTTTTTTTTTTTTTTTTTTTTTTTTTACTCCGCCGTTTTTCTTTTCTATTAGTGTTAATTATAAGTTGTTATGACTCATCCAACACATCCATTTCTTACAATTTCAAGTGTGGTACTGAAAATCCTATAATCAAGAAGAAAGTATGGCAAAAATACTCTTCAGATTACTCAAAGAAAAATATATGAACACCAGTCTGTTCAGCGGTAAAAATAATACACCTTTATCCAAAAAAAAAAAAAAAGACAACAAATTAAAAATTCAAAAAAACATCTTTCAAAATTTAAAGCAGGGTTAAACATTTCCATTGCACAAGTCCACATCAATCACCAGATCAAAAAGTAGGTTGACGTATATTTCGTTTATTAAAACCGGAAACCCTTGCCGTATTTCGCCAATTAAAATGTTATGTAATCGACGATCATCAGATACGATATTTTCTTGTAAAGCAAAATACAACTGCATGATGAGGGGTCTATATTAAAACTTTTCATTTTTGTGCCTCTTATTGTTCTCACTTTTTAAATAATAGCTCCGTTGCCCCTATAACAAACACCCGAGCTCTGCTCTCTATTTTCAGAGAAGAGCTATATTTTCACATTCCCGCGGGAAAAACATTTCCCCCAATTTTGAACAAGTGCAAGGCCCCCGCGCTCATAGTGCAAAACACGTCTGCATGACAGCAATGAATCTCTCAGGAAATGAGTCGGAAAAAAACGTGCGTTTGCAGTTCCATGCACCGCTCTATCAACAATGATGTTGCCAACTTGTTCTGGAGTTTCATCGTTACATGTAACACAGAGGACTTCTTAATAACAGCAATTCACCTCCCTCGGGAAAAAAATCGTATCCGTAAAAGTATATTTTCCACGTACTAAATTAGACTCTATAAATAATTAAAAGCCCGCTTTTCTTTCAAAATTTGCGAGTTTTGTGTCGAGGAATTATTAAACAGTGTTTGAGTCAAAGACACTTTGATTTTGGTGCTTAATTATCAATATTTCTCTGAATTTTACACAGAGGACAATGATCAAAACAAAGAGTTGTCACACCTTTCGAACCAGAAACATAATAATTTAATTTTCTCTTTTTTGTCGTTTTCGTTCCGAGGATCTATTGGGCCATTTTTCATATAATTTTCGCCGTAGATATTGGACGATAATGATGAGTCGGATGTCTTTGAAATTTTAAAATAAGACGCATGTTTTTATGTTCATGATTTTTGCAAATATCTTCTGGTAATTTTCCTTCAGATGAGCTCACTTTCGTCATCTTACAATATTTGCACTTACAGTAGAGATCATCGAGAGATTTAGAGAATGCGATAAAAATCAGGCACCACATATTTTAATCAGGGAAAAAATAGGAGGATAAAAAACAAAAGGAAATGAACCGATCTAATTTTTTCATCCGTCAGCATTTTCGGAAGTACTTTCCCCAGAAACACTCTCAATTTCTAGTAGCCACAACTACTGGCAACGTAGCTTCAATTCCGTGGGCTAATTAGCGGGAAAAGGTTACACTTAATTCATTACAAAATACCGGTCAGGCGGACGAAACAGACCGTGAACTGAAGATTTCGTGAAAACAGTGATAGTAAGTGTGAGGAAAAATCGATCGACGGGACTGGACGATAGTATCCCGACGGAGTTGCCGAATAGCATTTTAAACTCTGGAGATTCCAGGATCCTGGAACACTGCCGTTAACCTTGGAGGCTTTTGGTTTTTTTTTCTTGACGACGATGGCATCCGACAGCGGTGCCACATTTCATCGCTCTGCCGATCAAAAAGTAGACTCTCAGTTTTACGCATGATCTTAGGTTTATACAGACGACAGAACTTATTTCCTTAAAAAATAGGCCCGTGCCCCTTTTAGGATCAGAGTGAAAATTTAGGCTTGTATCTGCTTCTTCAGGATTATTGATCATAATGATGCCACAAGATTGCTGAAAATTCCTAAAACTTGCTTCAAAGTTTGTTCAGTTTCCATCAATGAATATAACCTCCGAAAGAACTCACGAAATTTTTGCGTAGCATCTTTCCAAATCGTATATATGTCGCGGGTATTTTGCAATCGCCGGTAGTTTGCAAGCCAGTGAATGATATTCAAAGCATAAAATTCGAATTTATTCGGAATTTTCCGAATAAATTTCCGAGAATAAATTTCAAAAATAAAAAACACAAGACTGGAGTGCTGATTATGTATTCTATAATACGAATAGACACTTCCCTGCGTAAAAATAAAGCAGCGCAGGCACACCAAAAAGAGCGCGAAGTGAACTCCGTGACATTCTTTGGGTTGAGATCAGACGGGCAACTAAACTAACTTCGAGACAAAGCGTAGAGTATTAAAAATATTGAAGGCGCTCCAAGCCGAGCTCATGCTTTTGAGGACCACCCATCAAACCTCCATTATGCCAATGGGTATTAGTGCGATTTATTGATGCAATATGTGAACCGCTTGCAAAATGCCGGCGATTGCTAATTGCCTGCGACATATAGATTCACCCTTGAAAGAAAATACTAAAAATCTTACGCAAAAATATTCTAGTGATTTTATCTTAAGTCAAAGTAATTATTTCGACCGTAAATATACGGCGTAATGTATTCATGCGTAATAACGCATGAGGCGTTTTTCTTTTGCAAGTTAGATATATGTATTTTTAAAAAAATCCGAGAGACGTGTGAAAGTTTGTCTCTGGGAACATAGAATCAATAGGTTTAGGGTAGGTTAGCTTCCGTCTACGTAAAAAAATACGATTGCGGGTATGAAAAGTCGTTTGGGCTTTAAATTTAGTTAGTCCGTATTTTTAGTAGTCCCTTATTCTACAAGTAACTGATTCTGGGCCCACGGCTCTGACCAGTATGGAATGGTATTTCTGAGCCCATAATGGTAAATCTCTTCTTTGTAGACACACATTTTACATCAGAATAATTTAGATTAAAATGTAAGAATCCCAATTCAAAATATTTTCAAGCGTAAGTTGTGAGTACATTTTTGCACGTGCATTCCGATTCTAGTGGCCTGGTCGGCGAGTTCGAAATTAAATTAGGACACAACTTCCTGATTGAATCGACTTACAAAATTTGCCAAGCCTAAAGAGTATTCTGCTTATTAATGTTTCCTCATATTCGCTCTTTGTTTTTTCTTCTCGTATACTGAAAACGCGGCCTGAAGTGAGAGCCTTAATTGGCTGATCTGATCTGTTACTGATTGGGCCAGTGTCGGAAAAGCTTAATTGAATAGCAGCATTGCGAAGTTTCATGTAACAACTTTTTCCTCTATTTATTAACGAAATGAGGACCTATTTTGAATTCAAAATGTCTGGGTATAATTCCACCAAAACACGGACAAAATTCACAGCCAATTTTTAAAATATAAGCACACAGACGCCTGTGATCGAATTAATTAACAGTTGTGAGTATTTTCAGCGATGAAATAGACCAGTTTAATCATGCGTTGCTTCCAAGCTAGACATCATTATGGTATTTTATTGTAATGGGGCATGCCAAATGTTTTTTATTTTCTCATCAAGATATTGAGGTTTGATAAACTTATACACAATTACTTTTCATATCTATTCGTCTCCCTGTAAAAATTTTCATATTTCAACTTCCTTTTGTGCCTTTTAATTCAAACTCGAGTTGTAAAAAATAGAGTATTATTGGCGCAGAAACTAAAAAGCTGGGCTTTTCGATTAAGTTACCCCTAATTGGACTGCATTTTGCAATTTGGAACTATAAATTCTGGCTCTTCTGGAAAAACACTTCTGTGCATACTCATGGCAAACTCATGGCACATACGTTGTTTTTGAACCGGGCTAGAATCTATAGGTCCAAATTGCGAAATGTAGTTCATTTTACCTCCTACATTTTGAGGTAGAACAAGGGTCAAACCAAGCAAAGATTCACAGAATATTACGTAGCTTCCTTCGGATTAAAGAAAATGTGAGCTTGAAACGTCGCAAACGGAGTCTCTAGTCCCACTGTGGATTTAAAATAAAATGTACTCTAGACTATTAAAATGAAGATTATCTAAGTCGCCGATAATGCCGCGCTTTTAGCACGTGTGGACGTGCGCGAGAATAAGCACATTAATGGAGAAAATGAATTTAGCACGGATTTGACAACCAGGATCTGGGTTCAGCAGAAATCTTGTTAGCTGTCATAGACACATTTCGGATCGATGGCGCGCGGCTGAGTTTTCAGTTTCAGTTGTACGGATGCATTTCCGAGTGGGACGGTCTTCACACCGTATTCGGAACCTAGTTCTTCTCTGTGTCTAGTGCTCTCAGGAAAATATATCCTCCTCGATTTTGGATACAACGTGAAAATTATAAATTCAACCCTCGGACACCCTGCAACCAACCAGCCGTCGAATTTGGTACGTACCTTGAATAAGTGTTTCCCTTTTTGACAAATTTTCAGGGCTTCGTCTGCATATATTGCCTTTGATAGAGGGTCGTTCATAATTTACGTAACTTCTAAGGTTGGATGGGGGGGAGGTGTCGAAGAGAGCGGTGCGCGGTTTTGTTTTCACGTGTAAAATGAGTAAAGGACAGAGACTTGCGGCACAAAATCGTAATGGAGAGAAAGGGGAGAATGTCAAAATATCCAAAATTAGTGTCACGGATATTTTATGCCTCTGAGAGTCATCAGAGATTTCTGATGGACTAGAGGGAGAAGGTCTTTTACTTTGTTCTATTGGGAGGGGCGGCGGGGGGGGGGGGGGGGGGGGTTGCTAGAAAAGGAATAGATATCTCGGGACATTGGAAAGAGGGCACCATTGCACATGAGCAGCAATGCATTTAAAAGACGCGAGATAAAACTTTAAGAACAATGTGTTGTCTGAGTTGGTATCTTGCAGCGAGTGGCCCCTCTACGAAGTTTTGTGAAAATGAACGCACACGCATCTTCCGATTTTGTACGGCTGACCTTTCGTTTAGTTTGTTCCATCATTCATAGTATCGATATTATCTACAGATAATTGGTTTTGTTCCTTCCGCGGAATTATCCAAACAATCGCCGCGAATGGTCCTTTAAACAACATCGTTTTCGTCTTCGAGACAAATGGAGAAACATATATTTCGAATTTTTTAACTTTTTAGTTTGAGTTTATACGAAAAAATCGCATCATTTTAACGTGAGCATGTATACGTTTGGCGTGCTATGAATGAAATCTGCCGACAGGAGAGTGCTGTTTTACTTTTGCCGATTTTTCATGATCAAGTTTTAAGAATCAGGTTTTCAGAAAGCGATCCGCTCGAAACATTCTTTCATTCCGATTAGATCGGTCACGTGGGACTTGAATATAATGGGTGACCTAAAAGTGCCCAAACTTTTAGCTCAATTCGTAAGAACTCAGTATTTTTCACATTACTCTGTGACGTTGCTTCTCTGATGATTGTCAGCTCTCGTCAGCTTAATGTAGGGCTTTGCTGGAGAAGTTCTCGTTTGAGTACACAAACATGTTTCAGCTGAATTTTTTCGTGCATCAGTTAAAAACCCAACGTAAAAATAACGAGTTATCAATTTCGGAATGTTCATTTAGATATTATATTCCTTGCGAGTCAAGAAAACGATTGTATCAACTGAGCCTTATTGGACCTATGACGTTTTCAATACTGTCATCTACTTTCGGTCGAGTTGCTATAACTTTAATCACAGGGATTTTTGGAAGCTGCGACCTACTTCTGTGTCCAAATCTAAACATTTTTCTTTTGGAACTCAAAAATTCATTATTTTACTGAATTTGTTTTTTCTTTGTCTCGTTTCCCTCATTTTGAAGAGTGGAGTTTAGTTCAAAAATGGATACTTTATCGAGATTCGGAGAATTGTTTTTTGGCCACACTGTAGATTCGCATTTTTATTGACTGCTTGTTTGTTGCATCCATGTACACATGTATTCGATATACAGAGGACAGGGACGATGTCTATATATAATACTCGAGAAAGGGAAGAAAAATAAGATGACTGCGAATTCTGCGATGGTGATATTCTCACTTTTGAAGACTTTCCATTTCAATGATTTACCAAAAGCCGTTATCATGCTTTCGGAGGAGGTAAACTGAATTTTCCATTTCCAGCCAAACGAGTTAGGCTAGTTTGCTTAAGTGAGGGGCGAATTGAAAATTCTCCAAGATAAGGAGAAATTGATGTCTCTCGCGTTCACATCTGCCTGGATTTGTGCACTAAAAACCAGATTTCCCTATGTAAAGCATACCACTAAGTTGTGTCGCAAGTTTCAAGTCTGAAAATAGACAAGACTTTTGGACGTGCGAGCAAGTCGACCAGACACGTTTCTTAGTAATTTGTCAGCTTGAAGTTTTCCTCGTTTGTTCGATGTAATATTCAATTGAGAGAATCCTCAAGTTTGAAAATCAAAACAGAGTTCACAATATTGGTGGACCCGGTGGAAATAATTACAGTAGAAATAGATAATATTTTACCTTTGTTCTTCTGATATATTCACACAATGTAAAAATAGGAAAAATTTGAGATACTGAAATCAATACGTACTCAACATACTTGATAGGTGTATTTTGGGTTCTTCGGATCGTATTCTCTACCCTTTTTGACTCCTCAGCCTCTTGGTGAGGTGGACTAGGCCGTCTGACGTATGTTGAATCTCTTTTTGGAGTACTGTGGGCTGCAGTTTTCCTTGGAACCTGCAAATAGGTCGACTTGTTTTTACGCAGAATGGATTCTCTTAAGTTAGGCTGCAAGTGAATTGAGACAAAATTTATTACAGTCCTCACCGCTTAAAATGAAACGAGCCTGTGTTCACGAGCAAGAAGGTAACCAGACATGTTATTTTTTACTAAAATTGCTGATATTTATTTCGTCCAAATTATAAATTTTATGGAGTGTTTACGAAGACAAGATGGCGAGAACAACCAAAAGAGTCACTTTTAAACGTCTACGTTTCATATTGACGAAGATGAAGCTTTCGAAGTTTTCACTTCATGCCACACGGAAAACAGTATCATTATCCTAACTATACTCCTAGCTGATTTTGGCGCCAGATATTAGAGTAGTTGCACTAGCCAGAGGTATGGTAAAGTCAGCTGAAAGTGTGGTTTGATCGACTATACCTCTAGCTGGTGCCCTCACAGCCAGCACAAGTGTGGTTTGATTAACTAGGCTGGTGCCTTTACACTTGTAGCATGTAGCTGGTGCAATGACTCGTATAGCTGGCGCCAAAATTAGCTGAAAATAAAGTTGCGATTGTGATACTTTTTTCTTCAGTGCAGGCCTCAGGCTTCTTCCATTTATTTGTTGCATTTTGCAGTGTACCAAATTTATAGTTGAAATTCACTGAATGACTGTAAATGTTAGGGAGTTTCTACTCACTGTCACGTGTGAATAAATCTCTTGAAAACATCAAATTCAACTGAAGTGCAATTTTAATATACTTTTCTTCGAGCGCATGGTGGAGAATCTTAGGTTTAGTGCTTTCTCCGCACCAAAACTGTGTGCTTTTCTGTACAAAGTTTGTTAGGAGTCAATGAAAGTCCAATTTTAAGGAAGTTAAACGGAGTGAATATTGCTGTTTGCGAAATTCTCAAGTTTTTAAAAAAAAAAAAAAAAAAAATGAAAAGAAAAAACTGAATAGCAAGTGTGTCATTTTTTATTGAAAAATCTATTGTCAATCAATGAAATTTCTCTCTCTTTTTTCGAGCGTACTGCAAGAGATGGTTTCTTTCAGCACTCAGCACTGGAAAAAAAAAAAACATTGGATCTAGATTCCAGACTCTTGAAAACATTGACAAGAAAAAATACTCTTGGTTCAATCGGATTTTTGCTTGAATCAAAACGAAATCCGCTTACATTAAGAGGTTTGGTTCTTGATTTAAGCTAGATTCTGATTGAATCAAGAGTACTTTTACTGGTCGATGTTTTTAAGAGCCTGGACTTTAGATTCAATGTGTTTTTTTTTCCCAGTGAGGTCCGTTAGTGGAATATCCCCCCCCCCCCATCCGAAACTCACTTAAAAGAACTTGATATAAATTATGCAGTTATACAACTTTGAAATCTCTCCTTCTCCAATTCTCCAATTGCATAAGCCCCACATGGTGGTGAACTCAACCGCACAATGACTTTGAAATTTTTGCACGAGTTACTGGGTTCATGCAGGTTCAATGCCGCGATGACTGTAATACACATTATTTATCTATATCTCATTGTGATAACGCATTTATACACTCTCTTAAAACCGTACCCACACGTGCGCACGCAACTTTGGATGGAGTTCATTGTGAAGAGCCCATCAAAGTCCGGCCGTGCTTCCTTTCTTCCCGCGTAAGGGACATATTGAAGACAAAGTGGAGTGGTTTATCTGGCGCGAATGAAATATTTTTCCTCTCGTATGATCATTCTCCAACTATGTGTAATCGTTTGATTATACAATTTGCCGACCAATTCACTTTTTCAGTGATTACGGGAAGCATAAATTGATTCCACGAAAAATTGGTAAGGGTCAGCTTATTTTCGTACAGCGCTGTTAGATAAAGAGAGATTATTTTTCTGATTCTTTTCATTGACTAAGTTAGCGACGGATTAATTTTGGGTGAAAATGAACCAATCGGGGAGACACGCTGGTCAGTGCAGCTCGTGTCAACGGCTTCACAAAACTTAAGTTAGGGCTCCAACTTTATTAACTTATTCAATTTGATTATTCATTGCTTCATTCGTAGATTTTTCATCAGCTTATTCATACATAATAGACTCGGTTTCATCATTTCCACTTACAAGTCGCGGAGGGGGCAATCTTTGTACCGGAGCAGGCTCTTCATCTACGACAAAATTATCCTCGTTAAATTCATCTTGGATTGGATATTTTTTGTGCGGAGGTTTCATAAAGGTTGGCAAACCCGTGATGTGACAGGAACAGCAAGTTGGCACCTGGAACAGAACGCGTTTATTTTGAAACAACTGCACAACGGTTGTTAGGACTCGGATTGTGTCACACGTAGTCCTAAGAATCCCTAGAAAATTCTTTGCAAAAATACGAACAAAAATTATGCTTTTACAAGGGAGATTACTGTGAAGGGCACGATGAGCATTTATGGTACGATCGCAAAAAAAAAGTCTTATGGACATACTTGTTGTTAGCTTCTTTCTCCCTTTCACTCTGAATTTTTTTAGGTTCACTTGAATTACGTGAAAATAGTTATTTAGCATGGCTTTATTTTGATGACTATGAAGTTTCAGCCATCAGAGCGTCAAAATAACTGTATCTTACCTATTGTGCGACTTTAACAAATTTCACGAATGATATTTTTTCGAGAATCCATATCTTGCCAGAGCAGATGTAATTTGCTGATCTTATTTGGGTGTGATCATAAACACGCACACATGTCATATTGGTATACTCTGAATTTTGGTTGTGCACATTTTATTCTGTTGGAAATTAACTGTAATATTCTCCAATCTCGTTGTACTCTTGTTTGCTGTTAATAATTTTCGTCATTTCATATCCTTAATCAGATTTGAACATCGTTAGCTTTCCTTCCTTATTTAGCTTTCATATGCACAAGTGAATTTAATTGAGGATATTTCTTAAATAAATTTTAAACTTGCTTTTGTCGTGGTCACAAATTCAATTAAAAGCACTGAAAAATTAGCCTCAATGTTTGTAAAGCTTAAACTTGTGTGTTAAACAAAATCCCGCAAATTATATCACCAAATTAACACAAAAATAAGTAGAACACAATACTGTGAGCGTAAGTAATAGTTTAAAGCTTACCCTAAAAATATCCATAGTGAGACCTGCGGATTTGTCCCACGTAACTAATCGGTGGTAGTTAAATGTTTGCACGCACTCAGATTGATAGTTTTCAGCTAATAGCGAGCATGGCTCCTTGGGTTTTCTGCAAGAAAAAAAAGTAACTTTATGATATAATCCCGAATCCCTGAGTGTTTTCAGAAGAAGAGAGTCTTTGAAAAACATATATTTAAAGTTAAATAATATACTGTAATGGTGATTTTGCCAACAACAGTGAAAAAGCCAACACAGTTGAACAGTGTTCACTAACAGTATAAACAGTGTTCTCATTCATAAGGGAATACCTCACGCAAATCAGCCTATTAAACTTGTAAAGAGACTTACAGTTGTATACTAACTTTTAACACACGTTGGCAAACTTACTAACAGTTCAAGAATTCTAACGGTGTCAGCTCACTGCTGAACAATTGGTAAGACTGCATGGACTGGGCTCTTAGTTATGTGTTTTGTGCAGAGGCTCAGCGGATGAAATGAAAATGCATTGCATCTGATCACTATGTTTCTCCTTCAAACCGTAAGATATGCAGCAGACAACGCTTTCACGTAACCGCGTGGTCAACCCAGGCGCACTATAAGCCAGTCTTCACGCGGTTTTGAAATTCAATAAAATGTAAATTATTCCTATTGTAATCCTCTGTTAAATTAAAAACTTTTCACATAGAAGTCTCATTTTTAGTGTGAAAAATTTGAACGAATAGAGGCAGTGCATTTTCTTACTTTTTTCTGACATTGAAAACAGAACACTGGAAAATTGAGGAGTTTCATTAATAGCTTCCGGAAGTATCTTTCTCCTAAAACTCTCTTTCATAAAGTTCCAAGATTCATATGTTTCATGAATAAAATGAACGAGGGATGGAAAAGTTGTAGGAAGTACTGTGCGATTGATGATGATTTTTCTCTCGCGTCTAAAAAAGTAGGAGAAAGTCAATGAAGTAAAATGTTGATCCCAGCAAAAGCTAAAAGGTTATATGAATGTGTAGGAAGTGCGCCACACTAGAAAAAAAAAACACATTGGATCTTGAGTCCAGACTCTTGAAAACAATAACAAGAAAAAATACTCTTGAGTCAATCGGATTTTTGCTCGAATCAAAACGAAATCCGCTTAAATTAAGAGGCTTGGTTCTTGATTTAAGCTAGATTCTGATTGAATCAAGAGTGCTTTTTCGTTTGTCGATGTTTTTAAGAGTCTGGACTCCAGATCCAATGTGTTTTTCTTCCCGTGCATAATACCCTTGTCAAATGAGGCGTCAATTTAAAGAATGACTAAAATTATTCCATTTGAACCATCAAATGCGGGAAAAGAAAACACCACACACACACAAAAATACTCTGTAAGTAGCGGGATGTCTGAGGGGGGTTGAGAGTTAAAATCGAACTCCGCTGGAGCTACTAATATTAATCTACTTTAGATTGCGGCTGGCATATACTCACTGGCACATTTCTAGTCGAAGGGTTTGAGTATATTCCCCAGTATTGACTATATACTTCCATTGGCCGTTGGCTGCCTTGCCTCGTTTTGGACGTACTCTTGTGATGCTGGAACTACATATCTGCGGACCGTGGTCGTCGTCTGAGATCCGCCTAAACAGAACAAATGAGCAAATTGAGTAAAACATAAATATGTACATAAAATGGTTCAGAGTCATGCAAAAAATATTTAAGAGATTTAACTTCTTCGAGATTTATATAGAAGCTTATGAGTAATTTTCAACGTCACTCTTAAGGAAAACATTTCAAAACATCGTTTAAAAATCATACAGGAAATTGTTCCTGAAATTCGATAAAAATAAGGATAGGATCAATAACTCTTCAGACTCGAGTTTGCGTAGCTAATTTTCACGTAAGCCTCGAAGATGAATGACTGAGTATCAGACCGCAGAAGAGATATTAATTGCGCATAAACGACAACCATGTACCGACTAATAGAAATTTATGGAACTTAATGATGTTAAACTCTCAACAACTTACCAATTCGTACAGCTCAGAAATTCCCCTGCGGATACTGATTACAAACGTAGAATATAAATGAGAGCCGTGCAACATCCTAAATTATTAAAAGTCGGACTTATTATTCGCTTCAGTTTACTTTAATGATACTCTTCCATAAGTTGCGTCCGGTGATATGAATTAGGTGCGACCCATTCCATTAAAACCGAGCTAGAAAAAAGTAATAAATTCTAATTTGCTGTGCTGAATCACACAGATGTCTCTCGTTATGAAGTTGTGCGCATCTCAACCACAGAGGGACTTAATATTCTACGAGGGTGTCTTTGACACTTGAAAACAATGCAGATGAAATTCTTCTATGAGCATCGATGAGACGAGGCAAGGGACTCGCTTGCTACGGGGGATTGTTTCAAACAAACGTATTTAAAAAAAAAAAAAAAAAAAAAAAAAAAAAAAAAAAAAACATTGAAACACTGTGAGAGTAATTGAACTGATGGAATACCTTTCTAAAGGTCGCGGATTTTCACTGTAATCTTCGGTGGAATTTCTCGTGCTTTCTAGCAAAACATCGAAAGCAGCTTTGTTTGCTATACTTTCAATTGTCTCCAAAATTTCAGTTCTGAAACAGGTGAACATGCGATAAAACATCAAATCGAAATAATTTGTTTGCACTAATACTGACTTATTTGAGAATGAAAAGTAAATATCAATAGATTAAATAGAAGATTTGTTGCGAAACAGTAGAAAGAATTTCAACATGCAAATGAGTCCTAAATTATATGTTTTCTATTCGATTTATCTATATCTTATGCAGGCCGTTCCTTACGTCTATTATCTTTAATTAAATATTATTTTTTAAAAAAATACATTGTTAGGTACCTACAACTTACATTATTTTTCGGAATAAATGGAATTTTTTAGTCTCAATTCGAAAAGTGTGGCAACGGAAATTTTAAATTTAAATGTGCTTATCAAGAATGAAGGTTAAAAATTGCATTCTTGTGAATTTAAGAGTGTCGCGTGTAAGTTGGAAATTACATTGAAATTATTGACAGATGCGAACTATAAACTTAAATGTTAGGGCAGAGAAAGAGCTTTTGAATTTATTTTCTCTCAATGAAAATTAGCTTTATGAGCTTTGAGGGGAATGTTATATATCAGCAATATTACTTTCTTTTTTTTCCAATGCTCAGCCGCCCAATTCTGCTTTTCGTGGAACCTTTCCATTCGATTTAAACTCTCGCTTCCTCAGTGCTCAAACTTAACAAGGCCTGGAATGAAAGGAACGGAGATGATGGTAGGCTCTTACTATTCTCGGGGAGAGAAAGGCCAAGAAAGTCCGAACTCATTACACTCAAAAATGTTAATTATAGTGAATATCGGTGTAAAAATGAGGGGAGGAGTGTTCTAAACACAAACAGGGATTACATGAAATACATAACATTATTCCTTCAATCTAGTATCAAGATTTCACAAGTTCATTAGTGCGCTTGATTTTGGATTGTGCTTCGTTTGTAACGTAAAATTATTAAGGTTTATTTGTGAAATATTTGAATTAAAATTTCGCATATTTTTCTAAAAAAAAAAAATAATTAATTTCAGGACTGTTAGCATGTTCATACTTACTCTGGATAATTGCCGACCTCCGAGCAAAGTGAAGTGCCAACGAGTTTACAGTCGTCCTCTATATGGGGACCAGGTGCGTTGTTTCTGTGAGGAGCGATAATTTGAAGGGTAGGTCTAAGTTTATTCGGAGGTAACGCAGGCGAAGGAGGCCTTAGTGCAGGGTTGATTAACCCTGGAGGAGGTGGAGGTGGCCGCAGCTCTGAAAGCGAGGTCAAATAATGCAAATATGTTATTTTATTTATTTTTTTTGTCGCATCTGTAGTAACGTTTTGCCTAACAATAAAACTGCACAAGAAAACATTTAGCAAAAAAATTTGGAATTAAGGCTCATTTAGGGACTATCACCTGTCGATAACCGCAGAAATCGCATGGAATTCGGCCCAGTAGAACGCTCAAACGAACTATTACAAAAAATAAAAATTTAAATTGTTTAAATGGGAGAATTCGCAGCTTTAGCACGTAATATAAAAAAATCTGGGTCATATTTTCAAAATCTGAGTAAAGCGGGCTCATTTAGAGAAAATTGTCTGTCAATAGCCGCAAAAGTCATGAAAATCGGCCCGGTAGAACGCTGGAACTAAGCATTACCAGATACGCAAATTTAGGAGGTCTCGGAGTTTATAGTATAGAAGACTAATTCTTTGGATGGAAAAGGGTAAATTTACCTGGAGGTATGTCCAGAACGGTCCTTCTGTTTGGTTGGATTGGAGGCCGTCGGGCAGGATAGATAGTCGTGCCGGTAGGCCTGTAGAAGTTTGTCGGGACATTCCTGTTCGGATAAAATGTCTGGAAAACAAAATGACGGTGCATTTAGGTGGACCTGTCTATATGTACAAAGAAATTCGGCAATGTTGAATACAATTGAATCAGTGTGTTTGAAAACACACCAACTCGGGAAAAAAATTGTTCAGGAAACACCTAAAACTGCGCAGCGGGCGAAGAAGTTAGTTTAAGAAAAACCTTTTTGGTGCCAAAGGACAAGTACTTAGAGACTTTGTAAAGCACAAAGTTGACATCGATACACCATGTTCGATGGCAGAGAATTAAGCGTTTAAAAATTTCCGAGTTGGTGTGTTTTCGTTCTCACCGACTTTCAGATACTGATTTTTCATAGCCTGCCCTGAAAAATGTATATTTTTCGACCCGAATAACGCTTGAATATTTATTTAACTTGTTGGTACAAGGTATACTGAACCGGAAAAAGAAAACCGCAAACTCGGATGGTCACCCGTTTCCCTTGAAATGGCCGAAAATTGGTATTTCCAATGACATACTTCAATTTTTCCCTTTTCCCGTCACTGTTTCGAGCACGTCCGATTGCAATTTCGAAATTTCCTTTTGCGTGCAGAAGCTTCCATCCATAAGTGTTACTAAACCGTAGAAAAGTGAAAATCGAAAAAAACCCGAGTTGGTGTGTTTTCGAACTCACTGATTCAATTACAGCAAATGCAATATTTAATCGGTGGCCCTTACCAAAGAGATTACGAACATTGGAAGAGTATTGACTGAATTTGCCACGAAATCAATATCAGCTCTGTTTTTAATGGTAATCGGATACACTGTTCACTCATGATGGTGAGTTATTGCATAGCTGACAATTGAAGGCGTTCCTCCCGTTCGTTCGTATTGAGGCTGACTTGAGTTGCTGAATTATACGGAAACAATAGTTTGATGCTAATGTCTGCTGATTCGACGAAAATGTATTAATTTGTCGTCAAGAGCGTTTATTGACTGAGCCTATTTTATTGACTTTAACAACGCACCTCATGCAACGCCCCAATTCAAGAAGTTACCGAATGTTTTCGGCCTAGTTTAAAACCATAGAGGGAGCAAGCAAGCACCGATGGTGTGTCCGACAAGTTTTGCTAAAATACTTGTTTCAAAATAAGCATTCATTCAAGCAGGTCACAATTCGTCGCTAGGCTGACATAAGGGCGTAATTGTACAATGTGATGAGCCCGGAAAAGCATTGAATTGTATGGAAGACAGGGTTCATTGCAGAGTATAGTTACCCCCAAATGTCAGGTGGGCGACAAATTATTGCAAACGTTCATTTCCTGTTCATGATAGGTTTTTCTCTTTTTCTTTACATCTATTTATTCCATACTATTGTTGTGCAGTTTTGTCTTTTAGCAAAGTGACTCCTACAGATGTAGCTGCTTAAATTCAACCTGCAACTATATCCAGCTAAATTATTGACACCTGCCATATAAAATTTATTTTTAGGTCTTTTGAACTTAACCGGCGCGCAGATAAATAATTATCAATGAAGCGTGGTGAAACAGGCCTAATTGCTTGTCTAATTTATGGTACCCGTATGTTATCCGCAGTGCTGGAGTTCATCAGTCCTGCCCAAGTCCTCGCTAATTTTCTCGTATTTATTCGAAAGCCGCTGACCATAAATCACTTTTGGTCTTCCTCTGATGTAAATTATAATCTAAAACGTTGGTGAGTGGATTCAATGAACTTTAGGTCAGGAGCCTCCATATGAAAGGTGAAAGAATCGCTTTTGAGCCAAAAAAGGGAGAGAGAGAGGGGGGGGAGAGATGAAGTAGCTATCATTGTCGGGACTNGTGTTTCATGCGAGAAAGTACAACTTTTCTGGAGAGAGTCGAAAAACGGACAACACTCCCCGTAGATGCCAACCCGGGGCTACCCGTAACCGTTGTTAACTCCGAAGTCCCGACAATGATGGTACGTAGTTGAAGTCCCGACAATGATTCGAACTCCGTCAGGGGAGAGAGAGAGAGAGAGAAAAAAAGGGCACATGACTGTGGGTTACAGTTTGAATGATTTTTAATATTCACCCAAAAATAAGCACATTTTGGCTGAAAAGGCATCGCCGATTTGACAAAATGCCTGATTTGACTATTCGTCTTCGGCAGATATATAATCGTGACATTGAATGGAAATAATCCAAAAGTTTCTGGCATGCACGTTCTAAAATCCTATGAAAATTCAGTTTTATAGGGCTACTTTGCTAACAAAATTTGACTTTGACAACACCTCAGGATTTTCGGAGATACAAATTTTTAAGAGCAGCCCGAGACAATGATAACAGTGGAAAAACAAGGGGGAAAAACGGGAAACAAGGCTAAAATACACAATTAATAAAAACCGAGAAGCTTCGACTCACAACTGAGTCATTTTCAGTCGGAAATGCAATAAAAATGTAAATAAACGATGTTTCTCTTTTTCTCGGATCTTGGCCACCACCATGTAGGGCTCAGGTTTTCATCGTTTTTTTTTTTAAATTGATATTGAATTTCCGACTGAAAATGACTCAGTTGTGAGTCGAAACGTCTCGGTTTTTATTACTTGTGTATTTTAGCCTTGTTCCCTGTTTTCCTCCCTTGTTTTTCCACTATTTTCGGAGACCAAGTTCACTGGAAAAAAACACATTGGATCTAGAGTCTAGACTCTTGAAAACATTGACAAGAAAAAGGACTCTTGATTCAATCAGATTTAAGCTTTAATCAAAAGGAAATCCGCTCAAATTAAGAGGCTTGGTTCTTGATTTAAGCTTAACTCTGATTGAATCGAGAGTATTTTTTCTTATCGATGTTTTTGAGAGTCTGGATTCTGGATCCAATGTGTTTTTTTCCCCAGTGTTTGATTAAAGGACGCGTAAGAGGAACCTACGTCATATCCACCGGTGCTCCTTCCGAGAGAGGAGGTGCCTGGGTCCCCGTGGAACATCTTGGCCACGTCCATGCTGATCGGGAGCATGAGCTCGGCGTTCATCGTGTTGTTGCGGTCATCCGAGAACTGACCCTCGCCCGCTCCCGTGAGCTGCTTCATGACCATCCCTGCTAGGGCTAGCCGCTGTGGCGCCGACATCATCCGCAAGATTGGCAGCACCTGATCATCGCAACAGAAATATCCATCTTATAACTGCGTCAAACGCTGTTAATAAATACACATTTAAGGACTTATATGTAACAATGGCGGATGTGACAAATTATCTTTTCGAAACATATTCAAAAAACTGTTTGGTATCGAGAAAATTTTGAGAAAATACTTGAAATGTAATCTTCAAAATCTGTACAGTTATGCCAGAGCCGAACATTAGATTTTTGTGTCTCCAAAACAGTTTTTTGAGGGTGTCTATTTTTTACACCCGCCATTGTTAGGTACATACCAGGCCTCATTTTCTGTTCCCACCTTGAAAGTAAATTGTAGCAGTTGACTTTTAGATATGATTCAGTTAAATTGGATTCAAACTTAAGCACGAAAAGAGTCTATAAAAGGCATATTAAACTAATGGAAAATTTGCACGCAATTTTTCATTGCTTCATCTGAAAGTGTCCGAAGAGCTATCAACACGGAGCGGACGTTCCTGGAGTCAATGCGTCAAATGGTGATATCAACTATACTAATCAGTGCGGTCCTGCTTGTTGCAACACAATTATTTGAAAGCGGGAAAAATTAGTTGGTATTGATGAAAGGACTGTAATAAATGCCATTTTGAATTACTCCTATGCTAGTTGGACAGATCAATTCTCACAAAAATTTAGATCCTTAATCAGTGATATGTCCAATCATCAAATGCCATTTAATTTTTCTCTTAAAAAAACAAAATAAAGTAAACACTTAAAATTAAATACGAATAAAAAGAAGCTAATACATTCGGAAATGTTTTATAAGCAATTAACTGACCAACACAGCCAGTAATTGAGGCATCTGAAATACTTAAAATACTAAACTCAAAATAAGCAATCATATGAACATGCTCTGCCGCGGTGTCTTTTGTAAAACATGCTTTAAAACTTTCAGTTGATAGCAATGCTGTCCTACACGTCGATTTTCGATAGTTTAGCACGCCGAATTGGCTGTTTAGGAATGATTGAGTCGTATCTGCCTTCACTTGAATTATTATACCTCTCCTTGGGCTTTAATTACGCACAATAATTCCTTTTTCGTCGTCGAACAGCGCAAAAGACGTATCATTGTGATTTTAGTTATTGCAGGAACACGCTGATTTTCCTTTTAATTTGACAACCCTGTTTCTCATTCCTGCCATTCAATTTTTGCCGGCTGAACACGAAATTTCTGTAAAGGAGCCTTAAACATTCCTTTGAATTGCATTGATTCTTCCCCCCTAGATCGGTGAATTAATTACGGAACGTACAGATTAGATCCTTGATTCTCATTTGAAAGAAAAACGTACGTCAATTCCTCATGAATGCAATTTGTGAATCTTTAAAATATATTTTGAAACGTAGGTAATAACGTATCCTGAGCTAGTTGCTGAACAACTTTAGATGAAAGGATACTTTATTCTTCCCGTCCGTAAGTTTGAGATTGACTCTGCAACATCGATGCAATGTGTATTACTACATACATAACAGCATACATATATTTTCGCACAAATTGGACAGGGCCGGATTTACTTACTTGCCGCCCATGGGCCGCCTGTATTTTGCCGCCCCCTTCTCATTCGTTTTGAAACATCAATAAAAACCATCAAGTGAACGTGCCGGAGTGGGAGGGTTGCATAAGACGCGTTTACTCGTATTGGACACATTGTTTTGCGAAAGCCCTGTCAACGCTACTAGCAAAAGTTCACGGAACTGGGCTCGAAAGTTAGGTCTCGTTAACCTATCTCTGTGTGTACATACAAGGCCTTCCATTTATATGAAATGAACGAAAAAATAAAAACAATACAAACAAAACAAACAAAATAAAACAAAAAAAGAAAACAAACATAAATGTGGTTTAATGAGCCTAACTTCCGCCGCCGCGCCGCGCCGCGCTGACCGCACTGTGTCTATCGCAATGCGTGAAGTATTCCTACAGTCTTGTATGCGGTATTGCGGCATGCGTTTCGAGCCGACCGCTGCTACACGCGCTGTGTTTGACGCAATGCGTGAAGTATTCATGCAGTCTTGTAGGCGCTAGGCGTTTCACGGCGCCCGCTGCTGACCGCAGCGACCGCACTGTCTTTGACACAACGCGTAAAGTATTCATGTAGTCTTGAAGGCGCTAATATGTGTTACATGCCGACCGCTGCGCCGCGCCAAGGGTTTCTCCTTTTCATCTTAAGATCTCGTCATCATCGGCATGTATCTGCGCTGCGCCGTTCCTGACCAAATTCCGTGTTCGGTTTCTCTCTTAGTCTTAACTCGACTAATTAAAGGTGCTGTCTATTGTATCACAGAAAGACGAAAAAATTTGAGATATACTCTCGGGAAATGAGAGATTTTGTTATCTTTTCTCGTTTGGTTTTTTTTTTTTTTTTTTTTTTTTTTTTTTTTTTTTTTTCTGAATCCGACTTTTCTTTATAGCTACATTTATACAGATTAAAAAATTTGCCGCTCCCTAAATTTGCTGCCATGGGCCGTGGCCCATTTGGCCACCCCCTAAATCCGGCCCTGAAATTGGAGCAAAAGTCTGGTGAGAGGATTTAGTGATGCTTACCTGAGCGAATGTTTGATACGCTCCAGGCTTTTTCATGGCCTCCGCGATCAGTTTTTGAAAAATAATTTTCTGTTTTGATTCCATTGAGGGCTCCTCATAATTTTCTCGATCAGAGTAATCTGCTGTAATATTACTCTGCCTGAAAATAAATCAGAAGGAAACAATGAAGATTTCTCATTACATTTTAAACACTTTTTTCGTCAAAAGTCTTCAAATAATTTATCAATAAATTGAAAAATCAAAATAAAAACATCAAAAAATTCATCAAATAATTTAGACAAATTTTGGCGCTTTATTACTATCTTAAATGGCTCTCTCTGCACTAATAATGGATGCAACCTTTTCAAAAAGATTTCATCATCGTAGGAAAGAAGGTCGAATGCGAAAAATTCCAATCGTTTGCTTTTTTCATTTTTAAAAGCTGTCTTTTTATTTTTTTAAGGAGAAATGTACGAGGGTATCTTTCTACAAAGAAGGCATCAATCACAATCTCTACGTTTTTACTTCCCAGAAAAATTGATGAGTTATTCAACAGATTGAATACTAAAACCCGGAAAGGAGCATTCAGAATGTAAAAATGTGGAAATTGATTCACTTTCATTATTCAATTTAGTGTGCACTTGTTCTGCACGCGTCTCATGGCAAGTTTCAACTAATTACTCATTTTTTGCATTGTTGTGGAATAATTTCCACTCTGAAGACAAACAGGTGCATTAAGTTGTCACAATAATTACTCCAATCCAGTCCGAGTATTGCGGGTATGCCTCAGACATTTTTAGAATGAATGCTGAAATCACACGCACCACGGTGGCGGCGAAGAGATCATGCATTAAACAGATCTCGATGGGTAGAGATTTCCTGAATAATGGTCTACTTTTTTTGATATGATGCACGCCAATGCTTAGAAATTCAACATCTCTCTAAAATGAGTTATTTAAATAGTGCAAAACCGACGGCTCTGTGAAAGAAAAAATAAATGTGAAATAAAGGCAAAATGTCTATTTTCACTCAAAAACAACACAAGTCGCGTCGAAATAAGAATGAAAAAAGCAAAAAAAAAAAAAAAAAAAAAAAAAAAAAAAAAGAGACAGAAACTAACTTTCCGCTGCTTTATATTTCACTCTTCGCATCAACAACATAAAAACTGATATGAATTCTGAAGAAGTACTTTCAAAAAATTAGAATTAATTTCATAATTCAATTCGTACCTCAAAAAATCACTAGACGGATCATTTTCATCCAATGGGAAGTCCTCTAAATTTTCACTTTTACTACTACGCTTTTCTTCTGCTTCGTCTGATCGTGTCCTTACAATACTAGCAGCTACCGTCTGAAACAAAAGAAACACAAATCGGTTAGAGACGGAGGTAAATACTATTATGGAAAAAACATGTTTATAATCAGATTAAAATCCTGACAATAAAAAATCCCGAGACGCAAAAATTCCTAAATATTTAATTTTTGAGGGTAAGCCCTTTAGGTTAGTCTTCTCTTCTCCGGTTGTACTTTAGTTTGTTGGAAATTTTAACCAGGATCCAACGCACGGTCGATCGAGTCAGTCATAGAGGTCGGACATGGAATTTTTGACTAAACTGCAAATTTTGATATTCAATTCGATACATATTAAATTTTGAGGGGTACCCCTGCAAGAAAATTTTACGAGGAAACCAATGGAACCATTTTCAAAATCTCAAAGTTTTGAAGTAACGGAGTTATAGGCTTTTAAAGTTCCCATAATTTGTTCGACCTCTCCCATTGACTCGATCCACTGTGCGACGGTTCAGCTGGTCGGGGGTGAATCGTCAAATCAGGGCGCTTTCTGAAAGGGCCACCTCAAATCGTCGTCCCGCGTGAGCCGTGTTCTCCGTATAAGTCCATGCTTTCCGGGGCTCATGTAGAAAATGAGATAAGATTTCGAGAGGGGCGACGAAATATGAAACAGCAAAACTGGCAACTTCCGGAGATCCATCAGACACTACTGAAATGAGCTCGTTCAAATTCTTGACCCAATTAAGCCCCAATTGCCCAGCGGATTGCGGCGGCAGGATTTGCATATGGAGTGGGTCTGGGAGCCGATGTTGTGGGGGGAGGGGGGGGGGTCGCTTGTAGCCGATTGATAGATCGGACCTGTAGCCGAAGACGCCTCCGGCCTCCGATCTTCGATCCTTAATTCCGCGCGGGAAAAGTGGTTTCGTTGAGTGTTGACCCGGGAACTGGAAGTTGAATCGCTTCTTGCTACAGCTGGCTGCGTTGAGCTACTTGGAGCTTAGACAATGCTGCCGCGCTGAGGAAGAACGCCGTATGAACACTCGAGGGTTGTCAAATTTCCTTCGGTAAAATGTTTATTTTTTGGGAGAGTTATGAATGTTCTTCCTTGAAATTCTCACGAACTTTCGATGAAATTGCGAACTAAATCATCTGAAAAATTGGAAGGAAAATATTTAGAATTTTATCAGGAAATTCGTGTTTTATCAAAGGAAATTTGGCAACGCCTGAAGGCTCATACGCCTTAGAATGAAACTGTGTCGGCACGGGGCACGCAGCACGAGCCGGTCACTGTCCCGCTGAGGAAGAACCATGTAAGGTCATTGGAAACTGAGCTTGCAGATATGAGGTTTCGGCTGAGCACCGCTTAATAAGAGCGGAGTAAGCTTGATCTTCAATGTCCGAGCTGATATCAGTCAGCTTGAAAGGGATCTAATGATAAACCGAAAGAAATAGGATCGTTTAATACTGCAGAAGCCAAAAACTTAAATTATTTATACGAGGAAAAGCCATGCCAGGAGCACCGATTATCAGGGGGATGAGCCAATTACCAAAACCACCAATAACATGTATCGTTCGACTGGTTAGTATATCCTCTCTTTAAAGCCCTGGTCATTGTTTTAGCTCTACCGAAAAATTTCAGGTGCCATTTGGTTAGCGTGTTAAATTTTTAGGCACCGTTTGGCCAGCGCGCTCAATTTTTAGGCGTCTTTTCCACTTTAGGAACCATAAAAAGTGGCCAAGCCAAAAAACTACGCAGTAAAAATGTATGCGAGGAGCAAGGACACAACAGGAACCAAGTCTGCGCCAATGTTTCAAGCACCTTGTTTGGCTAGCGCACTTATTTTTAATCCGATGTTTTTGACGGCAAATGAAACCGATGTTATTGTCATGTGGAACAGAAGGACGTGCACCTTTTTGGTCCTAATTTTTTTCCAACATCACAATACCTATGCGAACTTAGGGGGCCAATTTTCTTTAACTGGACATTGGAGTCTCCATTTAAAAAAAAAAAATTAATCCTTGAAACTGTAAGAACCGAAAATCTTCTGAGGCCATATCCTTTCCACTGTCATAATAACATCTACACCATGGACTTTCGGGTCTTTTTTAATTAAACAAAAATTTGTACATTATTAATATTTAAGAGGTAAAATAAATAAATCTTTAGATTTCAAATAAAATCATGTTTTAAATATCTAGTTATTAAATAAAATAATTTAATGAAACATTGTTTTATTCTTTCATAATTTAAATTACAAATCTAAACAATAAAAATCTTAAAAGAAAATGCTAAAATAAGATAAATTAAAATACCAATGATATCTAGATAGAATTGATAGTTAGTTGGTTAGTATATTTTAAGATATTCAGCGTCACAGGCTATGAACGTCTTTACAGAGAATTTTGAAAATGGGAGAATATACGAACATTTAGATTTTTAAATTAAGAGAGGTGAATAGTTTCAGAATTTTGGTAGTAATATTGGGATCGTCGCATGTAAGTGGGTTTGTATTTCTGTTAATTGTAGGGGAGTAGATCTAATTGGACTGAGTTAAGCAGAAAGGAACCAACCCACATTTTGGAAAAAAATTGAGTTATGAGTGTTATTGAACTCAACCACTGCTCTACTATCTATCGCCGAAAATTCAAAATTTTGTCGGAGCAAATTTTGCAGAAATTGAACTTGAAGTTTATCTTTTACATTGAGTCTTATGCAGGAGCCAAACTTTAAACCTCTTTTTCTCGGTTCGATCCCGATGTGGCTTGGTGCCTTTCTGTTTAACTTCGTCCAATTGATAGTCTTTAGTTTCAACATATATAAAAATATAGAAATTTAAGTTTAGATTTTATAAAAAGAGTTTTGTGTGGAGAAAACCGTGAAATTCCTAAAATAACGTGACAACGTGGGATGCATAGTTATGCCTGGGCGTAAGGTAGTGGTTTTCCACTATGCACCCGGTGGCGTCGGCGGCGCGGCGCGGCGTCGGGACGCAGTTGACGGGTTCGATTGGGACCCGGCAGCGGCGGTGTGACGGCGGCCCAAGGTTAACTTTGTTGATCCCTTTTAAAGGGCTTTTCAGCGGCGGGCTCCCACTGCCGCGGCAATAGCATGCAGTCGCAGTGTCGTTCCCAACGGGAGTGTTCCATCGGACATTGACACGGGACGCGCTTTGTCTCACAATTTCGGTAGTTCCAAGTAAGTACCCGCGTCAATTCGCAGCACATTTCACAGGAATTTGTCTTTTTATCGCATAAGAATTTAGCACTTTGTTCTCCTTAATATCAAGGCCTGCGTGATCCTGCAGAAACTCTCCTGAATGGACTTCATTTTGCATTAAGAACTAAACTTTCTGACTCATTCGTAGCAACATATCGACGGTGTAAGTCGACAATCACATAACTCGTTTGCGGTGTCTGAAAATCTCCACCTCTATATTATTTTTGAAGGAGAACAAATTGACAACATTCCTTGACGTTTATGCAGAATTTTCTTCGCATAGAGAAGAAAAATCATGGCAGTTTTGAGGGATTGCCGTCGAGTAGTTTTCCGTTTGAAAAATAAGGTATGAATAGGAAAGCTGCGACGTCGCAAACCGAGTTATGTGATTGCCGACTCACACCGTCGAATATGTCTCTTGCAGACAAATATTAATCTCTGTCAATTTTCAAGCTACTTGAGGAATGAATAGAAGATCGTAAAATTTAGAAATAAAAGAACAAAATTAGAGTATTGACGGTTTCGCTTTTAAAGTGAATAGACACATTTTTCTCCGTAAAATGATAGAAGTGATACGCATACTCGCTTGAGCATGAGGTGAAATCTTTGACCTCAGATGGGTTTCGATCGAACATGCAACTAAACTAACCCCGGGACGAAGCGTGTTGTATCGCAAAAAATGAAGGCGCTCCATGTCGAGATCATACCTTTGAAGGCTAAATGTAACTTTCACTGAGCCGATACGCATTATTGGGATTTATCGAAACAACATGTGAAGCACTTGCCAAATTCCGACGATTGCTAATTGCCTGCTACATGCCTATAGGATATCTAATGGTACATACGTTGTTTTTGAACTGAGTCAGAAATTTTAGTTCTTAATTGCAAAATGTCAGTTCACTGAGAGATCGTCATCAGAGGGCAGAGGCCGAATTTTGAGGAGAATGTTTTTGGTCGGGGTAGATCGAAAAATAGGATTGGGGTTTTCGATAAAAAAGTTCTTTGTTGTCCTAGGAATAAGTTAATTGCAAGCGTCCATACGAAGGCCATAAACTTGCATGATAATTCTGAAATATCGCACCCTGGGCACGTACGGAAGATTTCAATTTTAGATGCCTCGTATACCTATTTCATGGGACTGCATCTTGAATTGCAGACCTCAAACCGCTTTAACTTTTAATTTGTTTGATAATTTTTAGAGTTCTTTCTTATCAAAATATTTGTAGAACATCCTTTTGTGCTCTGTTATATCAAAAGCTAAAATATAATTATGTGCACTACTTTTTTTTTATCCTATAAAAGGTCACACACAGCGACGATTTCCAAGAACAAAGGAGTGGAAAATAAAGGGGAAAGTAAAAAGAAAAAGGAAAGAAACCCTGCCAAACTACAGATAAAGATACACTTTTAAGTCTTCAAAAATGTATCATTCTGAATATTTCAAAAACATACTTTTTCTTCTGAAACACAAATATTGGTCATGAAGATATTATAAAATTAATACTACGCGTCCCTCGATGTATGCGTGCAGGGATTCTTTTCGTCCGTGAAGGGAGGGCTGGTTGAATTTTCATAAGACAGGCTACAAAAGCATGAAGCAAACGGAGATAAGTTCTTAATATTTTTTTTCCAGGAAACATCGAGACATAATACAAAGTATGCTAGTTGGCATGCATTTAATTTCTTTAATCTACTGATATCATGGACATTTGGACTGAGTTAAGCAGAAAGGAACCAACCCACATTTTGGGAAACATTGAGTTATGAGTGGTTTTGAACTCAACCACTGCTCTACTATCTATCGCCAAAAATTCAAAGTTTTTGTTGGAGCAAATTTTGCAGAAATTGAACTTGAAGTTTATTTTTTACATTGAGTCTCATGCAGGAGCCAAACTTTAAACCTCTTTTTCTCGGTTCGATCCTGATGTGGCTTGGTTCCTTTCTGTTTAACTCCGTCCATTTATCGTCTGCTGTCCTGGCAAACACTGATAACTAGGTATTCAATGAGTCAGTTACGAGATATACAGACTTGTGATTTTTTTATGAAATCCAATAAAGTAGAGAATGGGAATGAACGGAAAGCACATCCAATAGTGATAGCCTTTTTACGTCGTTCATTCTGTTTTGATAATGCACATGGCTGTAGATAACTTTCCCGCCTTTGTTTCATTTGCAATGTAAGAATGTAAGTCTAAGGATGTAAAATTCGTTAACATTTTTCTCGTGACATTCAAACGCATTCTACTTCATTTTATAACACAAATATGTATTACCCAAAAAACACGATTATAGGTCCTGTGGAAATGACCCATTGGTGAGGGTAACATTATTCATATCAGTGTCACTTCACTGATTTTATCCTCTTACCTTTTCCTAGAATTTTACGTAGCGTTCTTCATATCATATGGAAAAAGTACCGGGATATTACATTAAATATTATATATTTTCCAACGGGACTGTGGAATATAATCAGTACGACGGTTTGACATCATTGGACCGGCTAGAAATTTGAACCCGGCGTCAATTGGTTGAACTAACGTCTAATATACTTGCAGCAGCAGTTTTATTGCTTGGAGCGCTTCAACTGATTGGTAGTTTATGAGCCAAATCGTTCTGATAATTTTTGAATTCACTCACAGTCAGACGTCAACCCGCATATCCTTTCCGTTCATTTACCACCAAAAACCTCGCCTAATGTCTCATTGCAGTAGAAATACAAGTTTTGTCTTGATGCCATTCCTGATGGAAAAGATCAAGGAGAAGGATGGCACATGCTATTTGATTTTTTAAAGCCTATAGATGGGCCATTTAAAACAAGACCATGCGCCCACGGTCTCCTCAAAGGCAGTTGTTTGTTTTTCAAAAATTCTTTTGTAAGAAACTACACGGAAAAATCCGCTTTATTCAAGTAGCTCCACTTCTTCTTATAGCCTTCCTCCTCATCTAACTTTCTTTTTTTGGGTGATTGCGGAGAGTGCGTGTCGTCGAACATGTTCATGTAGCATAGAAAAAAGAAAAGAAAAAAAAGATGGTGCTACGCCCCACAAAAGTCTACCAAGGGCATGCCTTTCCAAATAGTTTTAGGATAAAATGATTTAAAGCAAATATAAACTTTGGTCGTAAAGAAATTTGGTATTTATCATTTATATTTAGGTTGATACATTAAATCAAAAAGCTATCACAGATATTGTTCGATGCATTCTCGATGTTTTTGGTCCCAATTCCTTCAATTCGCCGTGTATGCAATTTGTGTGCGGGTGCGTCCTAGTAGACCTCCTATGTATAAATAGTCGCACACCTTGGTTGCGTAAGAAACGTTGTGATCACATGTCTTAGGCTATGCCGATTTTACACTTATCAGATCGGTCGCACACACGCTTTGATTGTAGACAAGTTTATCATAAAATTTGAATTAATAATGCACAGGACCGTCACAACATACCAGTATGGATTATCAGAAAGTGGTTTACAGTGTGGTAAAAATGACAACAAATTTGATTCTTGATTTTTTGGAGATGACTGTTTTTGTAAAGTGGAATCACCATCACACCAAATAGTCTGAAATGAGTTTACAGGAAAATAAATAATGAAAAAAATTGTAATTCTTCATGGCGAACCTTTTGCATATCTGGAATTTCGGATATACATCTGAGGGGATTACTGACTTTGTTCTTGAGTTAATGTCATAGCTTTGCCTCTAGCTAGGCAAAATATAAAACTGTCACCTTATTTTTGGAGCGTTAATTGAACTCAATTTTGCAAGAGGAAACTAATATTCCATCCATGAAAGTCCTTATCTGCACGAGCAAAGTAATGGTACACATGCTGTTTCCAAAATTAGCCAAAAATAATAAACGAAGTGCGTTCAACGAGCCCATCACATTTTCTTTGGTTCAATGAAAGCTATTGTCGCTCACTGGAAAAAACACATTGGATCTAGAGTCTAGACTCTTAAAACATCGACAAGAAAAAGTACTCTTGATTCAATCAGAATCTAGCTTAAATCAAGAACCAAGCCTCTTAATTTAAGCGGATTTCGTTTTGATTCAAGCAAAAATCCGATTGAATCAAGAGTATTCTTTCTTGTCAATGTTTTCAAGAGTCCGGACTCTAGATCCAATGTGATTTTTTTTTCCAATGCTTGGAAGAACACAAAGAATGAGTTTTCCTAAATGTGCAAATCGTGGTTTACGTGAATTTTTCTTTGACTTTTTTCGAGACTTTGCTCATTTTCAGCGTGTATTTGATGCCGTGTGTATGTTTCAAACCAGGTAGTTTCATTTTCACCATTTTTTTCATTATTTTTTCCCAAGAGTTCGCAAAGTTTGAGAGACAAAATCCGAATCGACAACACTGAGACGAATAAAATTGCATCGGTTACAAACCCGAATCAGATAAATGGTCACTTCCTTTAAACGTGTCCTCCCTCCTGTCGCCGTAACATGACGTGCTCAATAGGTGCCACGTTGTAATAAAACTCGTATATTTTACTTCGGTTCATCCGAGCAGTTACGCATAAATCCTCATTCGGCAACGTCGATGCCGATTTTCCAAGCTGGGCGTACATCTACGCACCTTTTCAAATTCAAATATTAGGTTAGGTAATAAAAATGATTATAGAGCAAGTGCCAATAGTGCCATGCATCTACTGCATGAACACAGTTTATTCCATGTGTTCATCGATTGTGACAGAATTACAATTATTGAATAGTCATATACCACGTGTATTCGTACACTAACTGTAAAACTTATTTTCCTCTTGCATTCCGTTTAAATTTCATTTTCTCTTATTTCTGGTTTGTTTCAGTTTCATTTCCTTTTATTTTTTATTTTTCCTTTTTTTTCTTTTTTTGCCTAGCTTCAAATAGCCTAATTGCCACGCTTACTACCACGCTTACCACACGCTTATTTTCTTTTCATTTTCAATCTTTTATCTCTAGATCTTCTGGAATTTGTGAAACCTGGGTTTCGTCTAAAAAGTAGGTAGAATTTTACTTTCAATTGGGAGCAAAAAAATCGCCGACCACGATAGGTTTAATATGGGACAGGGTTTAGTGAAAATTGTCCGGCGCGGCATCAGCATCGCGCAAATTTTTTCTCTACAGGATCGTAGTTACTCAAAATTTTCTTTCTCAGGTTGTATCATACATGGCTTTTCTGTTAAATCTTCTAACGAATAAACACGATGAGGTAGTGTGTCCTTTTGGCAGGAAAATTACCTGCAATGAAATGTAAACTTAACAAGAGTCACAACGAACTGATTTAAGATTGTTGAAAATATTTTTTCAATTTGAAATTTCCCCAAGAAAAGTGCAATTTATTTACCAGAGAGTTTAAAAGTTACAGAAAGTTTTGGGAAAAATAATTGGTACTATAAATTCTGACACTCATGGCAAAAATAAGGGATTGCTTTGAAAGAAAAAAGCTGGCGGGTCTAATAATTTCATGCACGCTTCATGAATGCTGAAACAAGAGTTTGTCATTAATTTTTGACGTACAAGAGTACAACATTGAAAGTTATTGTGCAGCCGTCACTTTACACACTTTCCGAACTTTCAACATGCTCTGCTTTTTTTCAAACAACTTTGAGAAAATCTTTTTTCATGTATTTAGTGGGGTTCTTTTATGTTTTTGTTTATTTTTATCACCAATTAAGTTTTGTTTTCATACTCAAAAATATCTAAGGAGTCTTAAACGACCGACGACTAATTTTAGGGAGCGATTGCGTTTATGATAGTTATTACGCATTGAACGCTCAACAAAACATCAGGAAAGCCATTGATTGAGAGTGAGGGTGTATGCTCTGTTCATTTGTTATACTTGCCGAAATGAGATTTCTTCATTCGAACTACTTGCTGAAATTGAGATTGCGGAGACCTCTTTTATTCCACTAGAAGAATATGATAAAACTCATTAATTTTCCATAGAGCTGGTCGAGATATGAGGTCATAGAGTTCGTCATCTAACTGACTAATAGTAGGGAAATTTTCTTCATTGAGCATTTAAATTTCTTTATTCATGAAGATTAACTCTCCATGACATAATTTTAGCCTTGATTCTAAATTATCCCAAAGAGATGTTCAAAACTGAGAATTTTCTGTTATTCTCAAACCATTTTTACCTCGCTGTTTTATGATGTTATGATTACAATATGATCTCTACTTGATGCTCCCATTTTGATCATTCCTGCATCGCGTTCAACAAAACACAAATCATACTTGTCATTCGACAATAGAAAATATTCCTTTTAACGATTGTTTAAAAAGCTGTGGAAAAATTTCCTCCATAAATCCGATTATGAACGTGACGAAGTCCTCCTTAAAGAGCATGTTAAAGTAACGGGAGTAATTCATTTAAATTTGGCATCATTGTTTACACCCAGAGTTCCCACATCGCGTGATAAAGCTCGCCTATCTGATATATTGATTTATGTATAAAAATGTGCGCGAGCAACCACTACGGGAAATCTGGCAAGCAGTCGTCCGCAATGCTGCCAAAATTTAACGTCAAAATTCGCCTACTTAACAATGATTTACGAGTTCAAGGTGCGCGATATATCGAATCAAGCGATGGAACCTCTCGACTGCATAAGTTAGAATGCATGCATCGAAGGGACATTTCATTCAATGAAATTATCGACGGTCGAAATAACCCATAGAATTTCGGATTATGTGGCATCTTTGGCGTAAAACCGTCATAAAAATGGAATAATTGCCTATGAGCTGGAACAGTTGCTGTGATACAGCGTAATGCTGTATCCTCGGCGAAAATTGGTGCACAGGTTTGCCAAGTCTCAGCGGCAATCCTCTCATTCTGCATCGATTTGCATGGCAACGAGTTGTGCTTTTCCCGCGATCTAACACCCGTGTTTGTGAATCTGTCACACAGCCAAGTTCAATTCCCTTTTTTGTGTGTTTTAGGGCATACGCTCAAACTCCCTCGCGTGCTGAGCCACGTGTTCGGCTTGGCGGACCCTTTCCCCGAAAAGTTTAACCACTTGTACCTCCCTTACACTGTTTTTCCGGTTGTGTTTCTACCATCGTGACAGCCTGCACGTTTTGGCAAAAGCTTTCGGTGAGTTATATTCATTGTTTTATTTCTTTTCGTCAAGTTTTATAGAGTTTGATGTGTTAGAGAATTTGCAGGAGTCTGAAATTTGATGAATTTCGTGTTTAAGTGGAAACTACTGCGTGAACTGATCACGAGGTTACCCTTAGGTCATGAATTGAACAATTATAGGAGAAGATATGACAAAATGATCCAATCTGCTAAAATACGTGTGTTTAAATGGGAAATGCTGCCAGATGACGTCACTAGGCGGTCCATTCTCTCACTTTTAAATATAATTTTTATACTATTTACCATATCAGAAAAATATTATGAGAAATTCTGTGAAATCAACTCTTAAATCACTCTCAGATGAAGTAATAAAACATTTGCATGAAATTTCTCCATAGGTTTCAATCGTGGAAAGAAGAGAATCGCTAAGATCCTTTACGTAGAAACGGTGATTGGTCGAACATGTATTAGAAGTCAAAGTAGAGCTTAAATTTTACTGAAATCTCATCTTATCATACTTGCTTTCTTGCACTTCGTCAATAATGAAGCACGCACAGGCAAAATAATGCTGATTAGATAGTTAGTGATGTTAGTTAGATGTGAAAGAACACCTCGTCTGCAAAATTGTACGAATACAATTTTTTTTTTTATTTGTGGACTACCAGCCCAAAGCAAATAGCATATTTCATGTTCCCAAAGAGGGGATTAAAAAAAGGCGATGGGTACAGGAATAATCTACCCAAGATCAATGAGTGGAGTGCGATTTTTTTTCTGACATAAATCAGTGTTGGAATTTTTTAAGTTCAAAAATGATTTGCGTAGTTACGGATAGAGAGTTAAAAAAACAACACCATGAGTATGTCCCTAAAAGTAAATAAATAAAAAGAGGCGCGAGTGATTGGCGCCCCGCGCGAGTGGGTGCGTTTCACTCCCGTTGCGACAATCCGGTGACCATCCCCAAAGATCATTAAATGCTCATTAAATCAGGTATGTCATTATACCTCGATCCCAGCTCTTCTTGCTCTTTTTTTTTCGCGTGTCTGGAAGATAATCGATGGCCTACTCGTGGCGAGACCTTGACCTTGGAAGTCATTAGTGGTTGAAAACGCGGTTAAAGCGGGCGGCAGGACTGAATTCGATTAACATAAAAATGAGGATGAGGAGCGTGCCGGTGCCCCAATTAATCAGAGCAACCCATGCATAAGCTGCACTTCCGCAATTTTCGCGAGAACTTTCGTTTTTCGTTCCCCTCTCCCCCCGATCCCGCTATGATATCTCGCGCAGTTCACGTGACGTAAACAATTTAGTGCCGCCAATTCTCCCGCAGTGGAGTTGCCAAATTGCGTTCGTCCCTCTGATTCTATGAGCTCACGCTCAAAAAGAAGAAAATAGAAATATTTCTTCGGTATCATTTACCTATACTCGCTTGCCTCTTCAAAATTTTGTCGCTTGGCTGACATAAGGGCGTAACTACACTCTGGCATGAGCCCCCTGGTCTCCGTGTACAATTCAATGTTCTTCAGGGCTCATCTCAATGTGTATTACGCCCTTATGTCAGCCAAGCAACGATTTGATGCCTTATTTCCCTAGAGTTTCCCAGAATTGATCAACATACATCAACATTTTCATATCAGTAAGAACGTTGAAGTCTAATATCGAATTAAAATTTAATTTGAATTTAGAGTGATTTTAAAAAATCATCGAGCGCAGTATGACGCACAAGAGTCCCTATGACAAAAGTATCCCCCTTACATTGGCAGATATCTTTATCACGGTGGAAACTTGCTATACGACAAAATGCGTACCTCGCTTCACTCAAAAAATTGTGCCTAATACTTGATGAATCTTGAAAATGAGATAGGGATCTTCACGATCGCACCCTGATTGGTAAACAAGAGTCCGTCCAGGGTCAAATCAACTCATTTTCAACATGGAGTTAAGTCTCAAGTTTTCATCCTTGAACAACGATTTGGGAAGCTAAGGTTAAATATTGATTGTGAATAAATCCTAATAACGTCTATCATGGAGTGATCGATTCTGAACCAAAATTAAACATTTTTAAGCCTGAATCATCAATTTGAGCGACAAAAACTACGTCGGACGGCAATGCAATATCTTAAAGATGAAAGGCGAGTCCTTACTCCCTCCGTCGCATCTCCCATCTTGTAGAAAGTTGCTCGGTAATTTGGCCTGTAACTAAAAGCAGAAGCTTTGAATATCGTTGAGAAATGAGGTTCTTAAAAATTTTTTTGAGGACCAAGATGTGCAAAGAGACTTTGTTTTCCCAATGTACTCGGATTTGCGGAAACATAAAATTGTGCCCCGGGTGAGGATCGAACTCACGACCTTAAGATTATGAGACTTACGCGCTGCCTACTGCGCTACCGAGGCATCTTATTCGACACAATTATTTTCATTTAATTGACTATTTCCCATAATTACTTGAGAAAATACAATTTTTTTTTTTTAATTTTCCTTTTCAAATTTTCATTATGAGTTTGAACGCAATGACGAGAGTCAAAAATATATAAGACGGAATGAGCGGTCGACATGCAAAATCGCGACTACACAAAAAACCTACAAACTTCATGATGTGGTTTATAGCCGGTATGAGAAAAGGAAGCATTATGCCTTTGGGTTGGGAACCTTTTAAATTATCAAAAATTGGAAGTTTCATCCTCCCGATTACAAAGACCCACTTTCAGCTAAACTTGTAGTTTTTCATTCTAACGGGTTTTTGAAAACGCACATTTCGAACTGTGGGACGTATATGTTCCCGGGAAACGTTATGTTTCTGGACGTTCCGGTCAAGATCTATTAAAAAACTGATATACACACACTTGGATAGAAAGTTTGAATTTTTTAGCCAACGCGCGTTGAATAACCAGAAAACTGAGAATCTCAATGCAAAAAAATGGAAAATTGCGCTCGGGTGAATTTTTTCCCTCTGCATTGAGCTTTTAAGTTTTTTTTCTTTTTTTTATGTTGTTCAATGGCTTTGTGTAAAGCACCTGCAGCCAACTTTAGGAGATTTCAAGTTTACTACTTTTGTAACGCACGTCGTCTAAAAAATTCCAAATTTCTGTCTTTATGACTCGTGCGTCTACCGCAATCAGTTTCACGGAAAAAATGAAATTGCTGATTGAACAATCGTGTAGTTAGAAAAAGAGTCCGACATGTTTCAATGTATTGACATGCTAATTTAACCACCCCCGTGGTAAATTAGCTTTCCACTATTATAAAATGTATAGTTGAAACTTGTCGGACATAATTTTTAACAATTTAATTGTTAAATCAGCAATCAATTTTTTTCCGTGTTGTGTACACGCACGCGCACTTCAAAGAGCTACCAGAAACTTTTTCGACTTCTTCTCCGGACATTCGAGTTTATCGAGAATGATTAATTTCTACCAGGGAGATTATGATGCATCCTTCTGTTTCACGATGTCATCAAAAAAAAAAAAAAAAAAAAAAATGATATTACGATCGATTGTCTTCAAGAAATCTCAACAAATATGAGGTGAATATTCTTTCTACAAGGGGGTATGCTTTCTGACCGCTTCGCAGTTCAACCCCTCAAAGCACTTCATGTCTCAGAAATTGTGCGTAACGCGTTACTCTTACTGATATTATTTCATATTAAAGAGGAATATTTAGAATTTCATTTCTCCTGTTCATCCGAAGAAGAATCATCGAAAGTATCTATCCAAAATTCCGTTCATTATTCTTAAGAGAATAAAATTGAAACGGAAGCATTAACACGCACTGCAATTAAGATGCAAGTGTGCATATTTATACTCACGACTGATTGACACAAACTCTACAAAAGCTTACTTTTGCAATCACCGATTCTTTGTTTAAATTATGTTTATGGAAACCATCACGATTTTGAATAAAGCGCTGACCGTTTTTATGCCATATTTACTCACACCGCTGAGAGTTGATGTATGTTGCTCGATCTCCTTTTCTGATCTTCTCCGAGGGCAGTAAAGTATTGTTCATGTTACGCAAGTTCCAACCTATACATTGGAGGCTTTTGCGGAGACATACCAAAAAAAGTGTAGGAGGTCCATTAAAAAATTACTACTTGCTCATGCGGCTTTTGTTTATTCCCCACCTCTTTAGCTCGGAGATTTTTTTGTATAAAATCTATTGTTCAATGGAAGTTTTACTCCATAAGGATAGATGGTTTCTTTTTCTCAAAGCGTGCAAAAAGTATTGGCATGACGGCTCAAATGGTTTTCTCGCACAACCTCATTTTTCACATGCAATCTACATGACAACTAATTACTCGGAATATTTGGTGTTATTCTTTTAAGTATCAAGAAGGGTACTCAGATTCCTATTTTAAAATCCAGCACACATAAGTTCGTTTTCATCGTTTTTTTGGCATCCGAATTGCCTGGCACTCATAAATCAAGCAATAATTTCTTTATCCAAGAGTTGATCGCTTAGAATGTAGCGTCGCGTCTCTTCTGAGAAATATAATAGGAAACATAGAATGCGAGGCAGTCACATTAAAAAAAATACTCCTCCTGCCTGTATTTTCAAAGTGTTTTTACATATTATTTGTTTTCCGTCAAACTCTTTGACCTCTAATCATATTTTGTAATTTTGAGGAGGGGGAAGGGAAAGGGGGTGGGGGGGCTATTATTGCCCAAAATTATTTTTTAAATACGATACGACAAATAATTCAACGGAATGTGACGACATCACCATCTGGCAACCAACTAAGGTGAGTTAACGGTAGTGCAAATACACGACATTTGCACTGCCCCATTCAATGCAGGGATGTAAATTACACCAGACAAGCCAATCATTAGCAGATGTGGATTCTAGCGGCAGGCCGTGTAATGTTGATGGATGCGTGAGTAAATATTGAGTAACTGGATCTGCTCGCACCTACCGCGAAGGAGCGGATCTTTATTCCTGAGGCACTTCCAATTTTTTTTTCCAACGGAATAGATTTCGATTGGTGTTCTTCGCAGCAAAAATCTTCTCTAAGTCGAGAGAG